ATTTATAATCACCCCTATCTATAATCACGTAATTTTTAAAAACCAAAAGAGGTGATTATAGATAGGTCTGACTGTATCGGGTAATTTCACGTGATGATCAACATCTTCCCGAGATAAAAATTTAAATATTTATGAGACATTATAAAGTATATGAATGAATCAGACCTTAAAATGTACGGACATTAATTGAAAACGCGTTTGAAATTTAGAATTTACTCACACCGAGTAAGAAGATCAAAATTGTGAATTAAATATACATGAAAAATACGAAAAAAAAAGAAAAAAGAATCTGGTGCTGCTTCGAACTCTTCAAAGCTAACGGTTAAATGACATCTAAAGTTTTCATGATATTATTGATCTCATTCTTTACAAGATATCATCCCATGTATCATGGTGTGGTCCATCAGAGTCATCGTCATCGGGTTCGCTGTCGTCAATGTCCTCTGTTTCACGTTTTTTCATACATTCTGTTCAAGGAAGATAAAAGTTATATTAAAAATAAATTACTAATCGACATTAAAAAGATTTCTTTTAGAACTTACTAAGACATCTCGCTTTTTCGGCATTTTTTCTTTGAGCCTAATTAAAATGCAATTCGAAATTGAATACGAAATATCATAAATGATTTAAGGCTTGAACAACTCCAGGTTAAAATTTATTTGAATTACATTTATTACATTTACCTTTGAAAAGTTATCCAAGGACATGGTGCGTGTACAAAGCATACATGTTAAACTATGATTCTGCTGTGGAGTACATTGTTTACATATGATGTGATGTTTCTTTTTACCACGAGTAACTATAGTGTAAAGTTCACATAAGAATTCATTTTTTTAGGAGTCATTTACAAGATACTTACATGACTTGTCAATTTGTGTTTGTGAAAAAGAATGAAGAGGTTTATTCTTCTTACAACCATAACAGTATAAATTATTGGAAGGCTTATTTCCTCCTTGCGCGTTGGCGTGAGCAGCAGAATGGCTTGGACCACTGAAAGACATATTTCATTACTTTGAAACCTTTAGAAATTTATTTCGGCTATTATTGCCACATGATTTTATGTTTGATTATGCATAAAAGAATGTCACAGTTGTGCGCCATCATATCATATGCATAAATGTTTATGTTATTAATAGATTGCGATCAAAGTAAATTGATTTTTTCTTGCAGTTTTCCCTCTTCTATTGCAAAGGTCCCATATACATAATTACACATTGAAATGAAGTTGTAATAAATATTTAGTCAAATTTTTTTAATTATATAGGATATTAAATGATTATATAGGTATAATTATACAAAAATTTTATGTATTTTAAATTAATTATTTAGTTATTTCTTATCGTTATATAATCAAATTATTGTTGAAAATAATAATGTTATATTGCATCACATCCTATTATATTTCAGTTTTACAATTACTTAGAAAATTTTTATAATAAAGTTTATAATTATTTTTATATAAAATTTAAAAAAAAATAATTTATATTAATTAGTAATGTTTTATATTAATTAATAAATTTTTTTTGATAAACTATATTTTTTATTACAGTCAACCCTCTCTAAATGCATCCCCTCGGGACCATAGTGAAAATTTTAAAAAATGTGCATTTAAAGAGGGTGTGCATTTAAAGAGAAAATTTTTATATGAATTCTATATGCTTGGGACTGAATAAGAGCATGCATTTAGAGAGAATATATATAGTGTGTGCATTTAGAGAGGGTTGACTGTATATAATTAAAAAATTATATATTATTATTAAATTTAAATATTCTAGCATAACTATTAGAATATTACATTTAATTTAGAAATATTGACCAAATATTATTATATTATATATTAATCAAATACATTTATATATAATTATATTAAACTTTAATATTATTGTATATATTGTTAAATTACATTAATATATTTTAAATATAATATCTATTTCTTTATTAATTTTTCTATTTATTTCAACTTCTTTTAAAAATTTAAATTAATCAAAAGATATATTAATTTCTAATATACTGAGAGGTAACAAAAATATTATATAGTTAAAATTTAATCATTTTGTCAAAGAATTAACCTCTTACAAAAGGAGGCATTATTGCAGCCAAAACATTAGATTACAATAATACAAATATTACAAAAGCTATTAGATATCATCAAACAATTGTTACAAGATTTCTTGTAGTTTTTGAATCAAGAACATCATCCAAAAAAATGATCACTTGATCAACAGCTAAAAAAGGTAAGATTAAAGGCTATCGCTTTCAAAAATAAGGAACTAAAACAAAAAATCTGGTAGAAATTACTAATATATTTTCTGCTGAAATCAATAAGCCAATCTCTACAAGAACAATTCATCATGTATTTTATAAGAAAAATGTGTATTCTTATATTTCTTAAAAAAAACCTTTTATGTAATTAATAAATCCAAATGACTTGCATTAGTAATAAAAAGAAGATATTAGACTTTAAAAGACTGAAAAAAATAGTCTGAACATATGAGTTCACATTTTTACAGTATTAAAATTCAGATAGAAAAAATATAAAGAAAGCCAAAAGAAGAGTTTCATAAAGATTGCATTACATCAACAATAAAACATTTTTTTTAAAGAATGTTTTGAATATATTTTTCCTTTACGTCAATTTAACATTTATTATAAATTATTAATAAAATAATTACATTTATCAAAAAATAATTTATCTATTAAAATACAATTTAATTAGTAATTTATCAATTTACAATGAAGTATAGATTATTCTAAAATAAGAAAAGATTTTAACTTATAGTTATTAAATATTTAATAGAATTTCTATGACTTTAATTAGTTATTATAAATAATAAAAGATAAAACATGTATTTTTTAAATTGGATAACTATAAATAATAAAAATTATCCTTTTCATTTTATTTGTAAATGATATTTTAAAAATTTTTTTAATTAGTTCTTTAAATATTTATGTACTTAATACTTGTAAAAATTCATATTATTAATCACTTTTTGTTATAAATTTTATAAGATATTTATTAATTAAAAAAAAAGTAAAAAAATTGTTTATTATTAAAATAACTTGAGAATTTTTATTGATAAAAAAATTTTCTAAAGTATTAAAAAAATCATTAATATTTATAATTATGATTATTAAAGATTTAATAACTGAAATAATTAAAGTATTTAGATTATCTCTTTTTTTTACCAAAAAAAATGGATTGACTTTTATATTTTCTAAAGTTTCTTTATTATTTTTAAAATACTATTTTTTTATATTAATCAGCAGTTTGTTAAGTGTTTTTTTTTTTAGTATTAATAAAGTAGAATATGAGTAATTGATAATTTTGTATAATTTTTATTAAAATTAAAATAAAAGTAATATAAAAAACAAAATAAATTACAAATTTATAGAAAATATAAAATTTTTATATAAAATCTCTATTAAGACTGATTTATACTTTTTTAAGAATCTATTTTTAACTTATACTAAAATATTACTTTTTAGTAATATGAATTAAAAAAAAGAACTTGATTACTATAGCATTAGAAATTTATCTAATATGATCTAAAATAAATTATTTTGTTAATAAGATCTTAAAGTAAGAAAAAGTAATAGAATAATCAAGATTAAAGATGATCACTGCAATTAAAAAAATAGTGTAATTAAGTTGTAACTTGTGATGCAATTAAATTTCCTTATGTTATAATTAAGTTACAACTCAATTGAAATTTAAAAATAATTATGAGGATCATCTTTAATCAAGATTGTAATCAAAAAAAATAAGATTGTTCTTTTTGATTCAAATGTTAATATTATAAGTTTTTTAAAAATAGTATGAATAGAATATTATTATAACTAAATTGACTATATTTGTTTAAAGATAAAATGCATAAAAGTAAATAAATTACTAGAATCAGTTGATAAATCTCATAAAAGCATGTACAGTAAAGTATTAAAAGTCATCAGGTACTTAAAAATTAAAAAATTAATAAAAAAAGCTATTTCTAATTAACCATTTTATTTTATTAATTAAATTACCTTTAATGTAATAAGTTAAGTTATATATCTTAATAAAATATATATATATTAAAATTTTTATAAATATTCAATTGGTAATAAATTTTATATTCAATATTTTATATAACATTTTCATGTATTAATACAAATTTTCAGTTATAATTAAACATAAAATTTTTAAATAATAATCTATTTTTATTTATTAATTAAACTTGTTTTTTATATTAATAAATATATATTCTTAAAATTTCATATAAATTATTTTTATATTTGTGAAGATCAAATTGATAAAATGTAAAATTCTAAAAAGATTAGAATTTTATGTGACTTGTGATTGTATTGATTAGATATAAATGTAAATAATTAAAACTCATTAAAGAAAAAATATTTTTAATACAATAAATAAATTAAATTAATAGTATATAATAGATTATAACTAAAAATTCAATGCTTTATTATAATTAAAATCTTGTATTAATACATAAAAATGTTACTTTAAATTAAAGCTCTGAACGGTTTAGATTAATCTGAAAATTTTGGTTTAGATCAACTTCAATTCAGTTTCAGATTATAAAAAAATCAATTTGAAAATTTTTAGTTTAGTTCAGATTTTTTCAGATTATAAATCTAATCTGAACTGAAAAAACCTGAACTAAACTGAAAATTTCAGATTAATTCAAAATTTTAGATGATTCATTTTAACTTGTTCATTTGAAATGATGATATTAATCATTCTAGATAAATGATAAGAAAACTATTTATTTGAAATGATAATTTTAATTATTCTAAATGAATGATTCTTTTATTGTTTATTTAAAATGATAATTTTAATTATTCTAAATGAACAATTTCTTTATCATTAATTTAGAATGATAATTTAATCATTTTAATTGAATAATTTCTTATCATTTATTTGGAATAATAATTTCAATTATTCTAAATAAACAATTTTTTTATTATTCATTTGGAATGATAATATCAATTATTTCAATTGAATAATTTTTTATCATTATTTAGAATGATAATTTAATTGTTCTAATTGAATAATTTTTTATCATTCATTTAAAATGATAATTTTAATCATTTCAAATGAATGATTTCTTTATAGTTTATTTAAAATGATAATTTTAATTATTTTAAATAAACGATTTTCTTATTGTTTATTTGAATTGATAATATCAATCATTCTAAATAAATAATTCTTTTATTGTTTGTTTGAAATGATAATTAAATCATTCTAATTAAACAATTTCCTTATTATTCATTTAAAATAATAATTTAATCATTCTAATTGAATGATTTTTTTATTATTTGTTTAAAACATTATTATTGTTCCAAATGAACAATATTATTATTATTTTAAATGAACAGTTTTCTTATCATTCGTCTAGAATGATTGATATTATCATTCTTTTAAAATGATTTTCTTATTATTTATCTAGAATAATCAATATTATCATTTTAATTAAATGATTTTTTTATTGTTCTTTTAAAACATTATTATCATTCTAAATGAATAATTTTCTTATCGTTTGTCTGAAACAATTGATATTATTATTCTAATTAAACAATTTTCTTATAATTTATTTAGAACAAACCATCTAAAATTTTGAATTAATCTGAAATTTTTAGTTTAGTTTAGATTTTTTCAGTTTACAGTTTAGTTCAATTTCAGATTAGCATTTTTAAGATAATAATCTGAATTGAATCAAACTGAAATTTTCAGTTTAGTTTCAGATTAGCCTATAATCCAGACTGAACTAAACTGTTCAGAGCATTACTTTAAATATATAATATAAATTTTACTACTAATTAGATATCTATAAAAACTTTAACATATAGGAGACAGTCAATAGAAAAGAAAAAATCTACAAATTTTAAGTAATTTTAGTTATTAAGTTAGTTTTTTCATATGATTATGATCAGTAGAGTAAATCAATAAAAAATTTTTAACTAAAAAGTGGATTTTCCTATTTTTACTAACTGCCTTTTATATATATATTTCATTATAATACATATTTTTACTTATTTTATAAAAATTGATTTAATTAATAAAATAAGTAGTTTAATTTAAAAGAATTTTTTTCCATTAATTTTCTAATTTTAAATACCTAGTGAATTTTGATATTTTATTATATAAAGTAATATAAACTTTAAGGAATTAATTCTTTTATTAAGGCTAAAAAGAAAAAATAATTATAAAAGATAAGATATTAAATCAGCAAACTGTATAGATCTATATAGATAGAGTTATCTTTTATTAATTCAAAAAATATTATTATGAATAAGTAATAATTATTTTCATTTATATTTAAAAATAAAACATTCTCATATAAAATTAAATGTTTTATCATTAAATTTTATAATATATACAAAATCAAAAGAAAAATAAAGTAATGGATATCATTTTTAATGTTAAAAGTATTTCTAATATGTATTGGTATTTCTTCTATCTAAAGGCTGAAATTTCATATAAAGTATATGTTTTAACTATATTATTATTAAGATAAAAAGCTGTGACTATCTAATTTTTAAGAAAATTGTTATATTTGTTAACTATTTTAAATTATTTTAAAATAATAAAACATAATGAATCTCATAATTTCTTTGATAAATTAACAGATTAGAATTGCAATCAGTAAATTATTAAAACTGATAGAAATAGTGATTCAAATGTTGAAGATTAATACAAAAATCTATGTTATTATAGCTAGTTAGTCAACTTTATTATTGAAAAGATTTTCTAAATATGCTTTAACTTTATAGAGTTTAATATTTAGGTAATGTAAAGTGATTATATTAAAAGACAAAACTAAAAATAGGAGTTGTTAATTTTTAATAAGGTCATTTTGATGTGATATCTTTGAAAACAGCTTAAATTTGTTAAATTATTAGATAACTACTTAGAAATTCATTTTAAAAGTTACATGACAGTTTAAAAAGCAACAATAAGTACTATAAAAAAGGTAACCAGTTTAGCTACCTAGAAAGAAGAAAAGAATTTGATAAAAAAGATTGAATAAGAAACCATTAGAAAATCTGAATGCATTTGTAGTCAAGCTAAACTTATTCTAATTGAAGAAAGACCTAGGTCAGATAATGAGCTATCAGTAAAAATTTCTAAATTAGAAATAAAAAAAAGCTGTTGTGAAAGCATTAGAAATCTATATATATCTGATTCAGAATGTATCTATCCAATAAAAATAATAACAAGTTATAAGGTTCAAAATCTCAAGATTTTTATTTCAATATTAATAGTAAATAAACTTATTTAATATTTTAGCATCCTCTTCTTATTTGTTATTTGATGATTCTCTATCCTAAAATAAATTAACTCAATTATCTTCTGTAAAAGATATTTCTGCAAATACAAAAATTATATTGTATATAAACCCTTCTTGATGATAATTTCTTTTTACCTTTTCTCATAAAAATGTACTTTCTTTATTTGTTTTTACTCATTATAACTAACCATCATCAATTTCCTAAAGAATTAAAATTAAAATAATTAGATTTACTTATTTTCAATTTTTAGAAAAAAAATGCTCAGTACCTTTTCTGATAACTTTCTTTGATGGAAAAGAGGAGTGACAACACATGAACTCCATTTTGCCTGCTCTATTGAAATATTTATTAGATCAAATTTAATTTTTTCATTATCATCTTCAAGCTCTTTATTAATATTATCAGAAGGAGAAAGAAACTCGAAGGAAAATTTTCATTATTGTTTCTTAGTCACAGATTTTATGCATTAGATCATACATCTCTCCTACAACTTGATCACTTATAAATTTTTCTTTACCTTTTTACTTGAAATATTTTCTTTAATGTCAGCTTCATTTTTTCACTGTATCTTCAATTACTTTTCATATGCGTAAGCATATTAAGTAAACTATTTACAGAAAAAGTGTTAGAACATGCAATATAATCCAGGTTCTCTTATAAATATTTCATCTTAATATCTTATTATTTTTTCAAATATATTAAGATGTTCTAATGAAATAATTTAAATAGCAATTTCTTTTTCATTTAATCTTTGGATTTCATCCTAAAGTTGACTATATTGAGTATCTTTTTTTTGTCTTAATAGAAAGACAAGTGTTAGTCATAAAAATAAAAGATCAACTTTGAATAAAATAATATATTATAGTGCAATATGCTGTGATAGGCTAAACTTTATCAGATCATCATTAAGAATAATCTTAGATGTTCTTGCTGGATAAAATCTGAACCTCAGATCATCATAAGAGTAACCTTAGATGCTTTTACTCAATGAAAGCCATAACTGATAATTACTTAAACCTCAGATCATCACAAGAACAATCTCAGAAGTTCTCACTAAAGTAATTCAGAATATCACAAAATAAAAAAAACTAATACTTAACCTCAAATGTGCTTAATGCAATTTTTGCATTCTCTAAGCTTAAAATCATTCTTAAAATTGTATAATTTATCAAGGTAGCCACTGTTTTTATTTTGAATATTTTCATAAAAAAAGCTTAGTTTTTTCTTTGTATTAGATATTTGTAAAAATAGTTATTATAGTCATTCCTTAAATCAGTTAATTCTTTTTAAATGCATCATAATAAAAATTTTAAAAAAAGTGTATATTTAAAGAAGGTGTGTATTTAAAAAATATAATTTTATATATACTTAGAACCAAATGAATACGTGCATTTAGAAAGAAAATATATAGTGTATATATTTAGAGAGGGTGCATTTAAAGAGAGTTGACTGTATAGCTCTAACAATTTTCATTTTCTTTGTTTCACATTCCATTGATATGCAAATCTTAGTAAATTTTATTTATAATAAAATAAATTCTGTGAAATTTGTGATTTTGGTCAAAATTAAGCAAGATTAGCCAATATTACAATTTGTAAATTCTGGTTAAATTTAGAATCTGACAGAATTACAATGATTCAAATTAGGCTAAAAACTTGAAATTTTTATAGCCAAATTTTGTAAAATTCTGTGATCACAAAAAATTATTATTTTTATTTCAAATAATGGTAATATTACTTATAATTCAATTAGAAATACTATATATATTAGTATAGATATCATGTATCATACAGGCTATGTCTCAACTTTATATTTAATTTTTATGTATAATTAAAGCAAATCTTTATATTTATCACATAAATTTCTTAATGTTTGAAATTATTATTAATTATATTAGTTAATAAATCTAACCTATCTAAGTATAAAGTATTAAAATAATACATTCTAAACTTGAGGCTGAAAATGCTAAAATTAAGGTTAATAAAGCAATTATTGTGAATTTATTTATTAGTCTTAAAGTAAAAATTATGAATAAGTATACTAAATGTAGTGCTAAAAAAGTTAAATTTAAGCTAAACTTAAAGAATTAAAAAAGAATAGAATAAATACTATTATCAAGAATACTGAACTTAGAGCTAAAATTGTGAAATTAGAACAAAATATAGTAGAATTAAAAAAAGAAAAAAAATCAAAGAAAAATCATTAATTTCAGAAAAAATGTATTCTAATTATCTAAGTTTTATTTGAAAAGAAGTTTATAGTTAAATATTGATTATTTTTTATAAGGGTTTAGAACTTGATGCTTTCTTTTATCATCAAATAACATTAAAAATACAAAGAAATAACATTAGCTTTATAATATTAGTTGGTATAAAAATATCAAAAAACTTAAAGGTATTATTAATTGTAAATAAAAAAAAGAATTCTATATCAGCTTAATAGAATTACTTTCTTGAAGTATGTTATGATAAGATTTCTAAAACTTCAAATTTCAGAAGACATATAAATTTAAAGAATAAAAATTTAATCTTTACATAGCTTATACAATAACTAAAGTTATATATATCTTATTATCTAAAGTATAATAAAGGCTTTTTGGTATAAGTTAATAGGATCAATATGTCTATCTATTTAATATATTATTATATTATTAAATTAAATTTTTTTTTTTCTTATTTACATTAATAATTATAATTATTTTAATTGTTTATGTATTTTAAAATTTTTTAGTTTCAAATATATAACAGTTTCTGTTAATCTAGTATAATAAAATTATGTTTTTAAAAGGTGACTAACATTTATAGAATTGATCACTTAAAATACATAATACAATATTAAAAAATTTCTATTCATTTTTCATAAATATTATATTTGCAGATATGATATTTATTCCTTTATGAGATATTAGAAGTATATTTAGTTTTAAATTAAAATATTCCTTTAAATGTCAATTAATTATAAAATATTTGTTCATTTATTCAAATAAAATAAGTTAGATCTAAATAATGAGAATATAAAGATAATTAAGAAAAATAAGATTACTGATTTTATCTTTATTAATTTGACTGAAAAAAAGCTTTTAATCCTTCTATATAACCTTCTTAATAAACCAATTAGAGTTATATTCTTTTTAATTAAGTTATCTTTAAAGATAAAATACAAAGTAAATGCATGGCTTTATTTTATTCTCTTAAACTTTTTTTCTTGTTGTCTTAGCTTATTTTATAGCATTTTATATCTTATCTTATTTATTAATAAACTAGTAAAGTTAGAAGAAAGTTTTCAAGAAAAATTATAAACTAATAAAGCTATTGAAAAGATATATATTAATAAGCCCTCTTATAATTTTATCTCAAATTCTAATAAAATTTTGATTAGTACTTATTTGCTTAAAACAGATAATTTATAAAATACTGAAACTACTGAAAAAATATATACTAATAAGCTCTCTTTTTATTTAATTTTAATTTTTAATTTTCTATTAAAGACTACCTCTAATATTCTTAAATGTTATAGTAAAAATTTATAATTTGTTTTTGTTTTTTATTATTATAATTGTTTTGTTTATGATTTTACTTATGCATTATAACAGATATTTATAATAGTTCTCACAAGAAATAATCCAGTCTTTGTGAATTTTTAGATTATCTATACAAAATCTATGATATAATTTTATACATTCTTCATATAAGATAAAGATCAAAATTTTACAAAAGTTATTTATAAAGTAACTTTCAAAATTAGCTAATCAATTGAAGATAATGTTATTTTTATTGACTATGAAAGTATAATAGTATAAACTGATTATTTATGCAAGTTGCATGTCTATTAGGTGTGATGCTTTTCATTTTTCAGATATAAATAATATAGTTATTTCTGAGAAGATCATCATATTTAATTATGTTTTAGTGAGGAAAAATCTTATTATAAGATATGTATTTGTTAGACAGAATAGCATTCATATTTTATTAAAGAATAATTTTTTAGATATAAACATTAAAATTACAGTTCTTGTATATTTATTATATATTAATTAATTATACTATCATCTTAGTTTTAATAGATATTATGAATTATAAAAAGATTTATAAAGCTAAAGTAACTAAAGTTCACAAAATAAAAGATATTAAAAAAAAATTAAATTTGCAAAAGTTAGAATTTTTTAAATTTTATAATAATTTATGATTATATATTAAACTTATCTATAAATATTTTAAGATTTCTAATAAATTTATCAAATTAATTAACTCTATAATAATTATCATGAAAAAAGCTCAAAATTAATTAAATGAAATCTATTAGTTAATAATAATTTATATAAATTTAATCATAAAAAAATAAAAAGATCTAAAAAGTAAAAAAAAAATTTTTTCTTATCTATAATTGAATAGTAAAGAAAGAAAAGTTTATTTGTAAGAAATATTTAGAAATAGCATTTTTATAATAAGAGCATTATATTCAATATTTTATAATATATAATAAGTAATATCAGAGTAAATATATTGAAAAAATAAAAATAACTTATAGTATTTACTTTATTGTTGATAAAAATGATTTATGTAATAATTATAATATGCTTATAACTGAATCTTCCTATTATAAACTAGAAAAATAAAATTTATTATTAAGTTTAAAGTAAAAAATGCTTTGTTTTACTAAATTAAATTTTCAAAAATTTAACAATTTAATAAACTACATTTAAGGCACATGTAATAATGTAATAAGTATTCTTTTAAATAGCTAAATTTAACAATAATATAAAACCTATTATATATTTTCAATTAAGAGTATAATAATAGTATTAACTATAGTAGTTATCCTTTAAACTGTAAAGCAGGTAAATTTGCCTGCAAACATAAAAAAAAAGTATTAATTTTTTAATAAAATATAAAATATTA